ACGTAAGTGCCGGATCTCACCATCCACCGGGGGACGATCACCGCCACCTCTCGCAAGAAAACATGCACTACACTTACGGAAGTATTGACCTTACCAGTTGGCACGCCAGGTATCACTAATCACTCGATCAATCGATGTCTAATTACTTCGCGTGCCCCGCTTGTGAGGCCGTGCCCTCAGGAACAAGAAAAGAAAGATGGCTGCAGAGGGTGGAAAGCGGAGCGGGGCGCGCCTGCGTTATAAAATCAATATTTTTAATTCTCGAGAACTCTGACTACTTGTTACTTTTTTAAATAACTACGTAAGCTGTAAAGAGCAAGTTGTAATTGTGCGACGGATATCGGCCAAATTTCTTCATAAAAATGTACGCTGTCCGGTCATTGGAAGAAAAACGTGCATATATCTTGTTCCTAAATGTAGCACATTACTTCCTTGGACGCGCTGGGTATTTAGAATTCATGTTTTGTGGTCCTTGATACAGAAAAATTGATTCACACTAAAACGTCTCGGTCTGTCCGTCAGTCTGTCTGTGGTCAACGCTAGTGCGTGTAAACCGTTCAGATGGTTTTCTCTATGATATTTCAGTTCAGTGATATTCCCTCAACTAACTCCAGACGAGTTTGAAAGTGATATTTTAGTTTATATGAAACATTGTTTTCAACATTTCTTCGAGAATGATTTTAAAATCATTTGTTTACACGTTCTCCTCGAACATCACAATCATGCTTAAAATAATAGAACAGGACTCTTTTTCCTTGAAATCCCTGATTTTTTCTCAATTTCAACAAATTTACACCTATTCCTACAACTACAAGAGGCAAGTTAAAGATTTTTCTTAATGCAATCTGTTGTTACAATCTTTTTAAAAGACTGATCTTTAAACGAGTTTGTGTACAATTTTTCGAAAAGTAGTAGTTTCCACGTAATTTTGCAAGAAACTTACACAAGAATTTCTTTGATTTTTTGCAATGAAAAAATATTAAAAACGAATCGAATTTTTAAATTTTTATTTGCACGGATAAAGCCTACGTCGCTTTAAAAGTAGACTAATTTTCATTCAAACGTCTACATTTTTGTTTGCTCGATGGACCTGAGGTTCTCAGCACGGAGGAAATATTTTTCTGGTTACAGTCGCTTTTGCTGGTTCATGTATTAATAGTTGCATAGTCGTTATAAATAATGCGAGAAAGTATGTGCGTTTGTAGTACCACTAATTTAGATTCTAGAGCTTTAGAGATATAGCGAGTCACTGTTGGTTTACATAACTGTATAATGCTCGGGAGGAAATAATATTGAAGGGAAAGGATTTCTTTTCTGAAAATAAAAAGTCAAGGTGAAATAATGTCAATCAACGAATACATACAAATCTCTTTATTTCAATGACATTATTTTGAAAGGAAAATTTAAATAGTACAATATGTAGAATTTTTTCTTTAACTTGATACTAGGTGTTTACTTGTAGCAGCTTTAAGGTGCGTAGTGCAAGTACGCATCAGAATGCAGAGAATGACCATCCTAATTTCTTGATTCTGAAACACATGAAGAAGAAGCAATTTGTAAGACAGTTTTAAGTTCATCGTGCGCATAATCGCACATGCAATCGTGTGCATAATTTGCACTTCTTTTTCAAAAAATTGCTGGAATACATTATTTCTAATTAATTGATTTTGATTACGAAAATCAGAATGTACCAATGTGTCACTAAACCCAACACTTCTCTGGATCAAATACGAAAATTCGACATGAAATATTGAACAATGAAATTAAAAGAAACATACACATATACAACATATCTGTGTAGATGCCCCACTAACGTGGTGTTAGACAGGTACGTCCACAGATGTTCGCACAGCACTTCATACTGCCTTGACAACTGAAGTCGTTGGTGCACAGATCTATGCACGGTCCATTGCTAGGCGGTGGGCACCTGCCTGGCTTTTGGGCCTCAGTGTGCCCCATCAAGAGCGCAACCACAACCAGCAGAACGAGTACCCTTGTGTATCCGGCCATGTCGAAGCGAGAGTGGATGTGCTCGAAGACTGATGCTGCGGCATCTCGCTGCTCCCGTTTTATACGATCCAATTTTGACCTAAGACTAGAGAGGGATTCCCCTATAAAGAACCAGGAAACCTTTCAGGGAAAAGATGGAAGAAAGACGCCCCTTATTTCATATGAAGTGGAGTATCTCCATTTTCCCCCAAGACAGTGCAACGGGGATGTGGTTGAGGAAAATTGACTTGGCAGCGTGAGTTTTGTTTCGTTGTATTGCTATTTATTTTAATTTTAAAATAATTTATTCTGCAGTGTTATTTTCCAATCCCCAGTTTATCGTGGACAAAATCAAGAGAAAGAAAATCTGGAAAATCACGCAGGATTTGTTGTACCCTAGTCCCATTTATCGTCAAACGTTGGAATGTTCTTCACAATTTTTTATTGTTACGGATGTCTACCTTGAAGCGTAAATTGGTTTGACATGATCACTATTATCAATAGACCTTGTTTCCGAACACCTTCTCGGCCAAGTTTTTCGTAAACATTCCTGCATCCTCGCTATATTAGGAATCTCCTGCTTACTCTAGAGCAATGTGATGAAGTAAAAAGTTGCTAGACATTTTCGGAAAAATAAAGCGGAAATATATCCAAATTATATGCGTAATTAATATTTAGAAAATATTATATTTTAAATTTTATTTTCGAAGTTCGCTTTATACAGTCAGGATAAATCTTGTGATGTTTTTATACGCAACGTTTCATAAGTCGCTTGTGTTCTTCTTAGCAGTAATTAAACTACGAAAATCTTGCAGCATGTTGCCTGCCCTTTCAGCTGAGTTTTCATGTTGAAACCTTCTTTTAGCTACTTCAAACGAAGCATTATTTGACAACAAAGTAGGACATTCGTAGAGAAAACTCTCAATTAACTTTAAGATGTTCAAACAAGAAATTGCTTTTCACCGAAGCGAAGTCATAGATTAGTTTCTCGTATAATCGACCATAAAGTTTGTCATATGTTGATATATTTTCATTGGTTAAACTTACAAACATTTTTACTTTGGTTTCTTGAACCAAATCATCGGCTAATAATAAGACAGGTTCTTCATCAGTCAAATACCATAAATGGTGTCTGAACTATATAAAGCTGCTTTCAATATGCTTTTATCAAACTTTTCGTATGCCTTGACCTCAAAAAGCACACATCTTGGGAAGGTGATTTTACTGCCGAAATGCATTGGATACATGGCTTGACATGGGATTTCCCGATGAACAGGTGCTTGTAAATTTTCTTTCTTTGTCTCCTCCTAAAAATGAATTCATGAAGCTTTATCAACTTTCGGTAGTCATCTCTATTTCTTTGGTCTGATCATGTTGGTATTACTCATGCATATTGTCAATTATGAAAACAGCCAGGCACAATGTACACATTGCTCTGTAGCATTGTATTTTATCAGGAACGACACTTTTCCAGTCATCTCTGAAGTTTTTGAAGAGTGGACTATCAAGGCTTGTAGTCACTTAACTTTTATTTCGCGGTTTTTCATTATATTTGAAGCCGAACCAGCTGGTATTTCATATTTATGTGTCATTAGTTTTTTTGCATACCACTGTCCACATCTTTGATCAAGATTACGTTTTCTGCAACAATATGGGATTTTCGTTTCGATATTTCGAACACACTTCTTATGCGTGACAGGAAACTAAACCTGCGCTAAACGGACGAACTAATATTGTAGGGCAGGGCCAATAGACGAAGAGGCATGATATTGACCTTCAGATCGCTTTGGTGTATGCATTCCCATGACTGACAAATTTCCTATAGAAAGGGAAACCAGGAGTGAATTACCTTCTTGAGAAAGATAGAAACTGGATGTAGAAAACGCGTTGGTGTTTTATAAACATTTATTCAATAATACAAATATCCAGAAGAAACTTATATATTCTGTTGTATTACTACAAATTACTGCAGTATACCTTCAAAATTTAAAAAATATATTAATTTTTTAGAAACATAATTTATAATATGTACTGAACTTTTTTATTTCATAGGAAAACATAGTCACATGCGAAAATGAGTTCTATATACAGAAATAATTTTCTATATATAGAACAATTTTTAAAAGTAATTTTCAAAGGACAGGGAAAGATTTATAGATATTTTCGAGATATAGAGTTTCGATATATGGAGGTCCGACTGATAAGAACGAGTCATTATATTTTTGGTTACACGCACTTTTCAACCAGAGATCACCCTTCCACCTGTGTAGCCTGCATTACCTTTCTCTACATTTATCATTTATTATGTTTTGAATGAACTCTAGGCCCTGCGAGTTTGAAACGGATATTTTGATGGTTCGGGATACTTTACAAGAAGCCTCAACATTTTTGCACTTTTGAAGCTACTTTGGTTCAAATCAAACCCAAAGGTGTATATTTCTGCATCATATTCGTTCCTAATTATAGAAAACGAGAGATTTCCTTTCATCTTGAACTGGGATTTTTTTAGTACATTAAAAACGACTGTGAATACATTTATTTAGATTTATTCGTAAAAGATATCAAAATAGTAGTAGTAGTAGTAGTAGTAGTTATAAATAGTAGTAGTTGTTATAAACACAATCTTATTTGATATCTTGTTATAAAAATTT